AAAAAAAAAAAAAAGACTGCCCCGACTTAAAAATTACCCAAGCCTCTTAACGTTTACTCTCTGTACTACTCATTAAGTGCCTGACTGATGGTGCAGGGTAACATATGCTATCTTTCTACGATATTCTTTTGTTCTTATCAAGGGCAAGGTCCCCAGCGTCCTGCCCTATACATGTTTGTAACCCCAGTGCCTACATAGAAAGTGTATAAATATTTATGTTTAAAATGTAATTACTGCTCATTGAGCATGTTACTGCTACAAAACTGTGTTAGGTTCAGTGAGATAAGGTCCTTGTCTCCGAGAACTAAACATGATAAAGAGATCAGCTTTTTTTCCAGTTAAAGGGGAAAGGTTCTAAGAGAAGAACCATTGCTATTTGTTTTCCCTTTTCCCTATCCTACTCCCCGCCAGCCCAGGTAGGATTAAGATTTCTTCCTAGACATATGGAGGCAGATTATATTTCCAGGACTTCCTCCAGTTAGGCTGGGGCCTTCAGACTGAGTTTTGTGCAATGGAATATGCACAGGAGTGATAAAATACGGTTTCAGTTTTGGTCATCCTCAGCAAACTCAGTAAGAAGGTAAATGTTTTTTGCCTAGCTCCCTTTTCAATATACTTCTTTTTCCTTACCAGTATTATTATAGGAGGCTATTATTATAGGAGGCTACCCCACTCCACAAATGACGGAAAAGTAGACACTTACTTTAACAGAAGAATTTTTGAGTAGGCATTTGTAATTAACTGACATTTAGCAGATTATATCATTTGCTCATGCAGCAATCACTGGCTATGAATGACTGAAATATTATAGCTCTTTTCAAAGTTAAGGAAAGGTGAGGGGTGGGGGACTGTTTATTTTTTAAATAAAAGGTAAAGTGGCTTTTATTTAGGGGCTCTGAATTTTACACTGGGATTAAATGTACTTATTTTAGGGGATAAGGTGACTTAGCATAGAATATTTCATATCAGAAAAGAAACTCCTCTGTACATTTCTGTATATATCAGTGTCCTGGGATGCCAGATGCATTGGAAAATGTAATGTTATTCTCTTTTAAAATGGCTCTAAAAGGCTTGGCCAAAAGTGGTGATCTTATTACTAAAAGAAGGAAACATAACAATAGCCAATTTAAAAAAAATATAAAGATAATCCTAAATGAAATGGTATCTGAATTAAGGAAACAAATGTTTAAAGGATTAATGATTATGATGTTTGTTCCAATATGAAATAAAAATCAAGAAAATATTCAGGAATTTCTCAGCCATAAAGATAAGGCTGAAAGTATGGTGGCTCACACCTATAATCCCAGCACTTTGGGAGGTTGAGGCAGGAGGACTGCTTGAGGCCAGGAGTTTGAGACCAGCCTGGGCAATATAGCAAGACTCCATTGTTTAAAAAAAAAAAAAAGACAAACTAAATTTGTAGAAAAATATTTCAAACAAAATCTGTAGTATT